ACCTGCTGTCCAGGGTAGGAAAGGCACCTTACACCCTGGGAGGCGGAGACAGAGCCCCTTGGGAAGGCAATCTGGGATTCTCTATCTAGATTATAAATGCACCTATCTTTTGACCAGGCAACTCATTTTTGGAACTTCTCCTACAGATAAATGAGATTTTTTATGTTTGGAAATACAAAGAGACACCAGGGACACAGGCACAGAGGGACGATGTTGTGAGAAGGCAGTAAGAGGACAGCCATCTACAAGCCAAGGAGAAAGGCCTCCGGGCAAACCCTGCCGATAACTTGATCTCAGAATCCCAGCACCAGACTGTAAGGAAGAACTACCTGGCTTTTTCACGCTGTGGTGTCTGTCGCGGAGGCCCAAGCAGAGTAAGACAGCGACCATGCTCTGTGATTGCTGTCACTGGCTTGCTTCTCTCTGGCTTGCTTCCCATCCTCACATCCCTCCCTCCTTCCCACAGGTGGTGGGAGCAACTTAAAACCAAGGCCAAGTACAAGGATCCTTGTTGGAGAAGCTCAGTCAGACCCGAAGGCCCCGTGTATTTACCCCAAATGCTGAAAGCACTTATCTTCCATAACCTAAATACTGGCTAATGTCCTGGCTATTTTGGCAAGATGCTGCCTAACAGGCCTTTCAAGTGAAGGATGATGTGAATTCATAGCAGTCAGCTACAAAAAGTGATTCGTTATCATTTATAACCTGCATGCATGGCAGCAAACGTTGTCTACGTTACTCTTCTCCTGGGAAACTCTAACTGCCCATGGGGAGAACTGGAGAGGAGGTGGAGGGAGATTTACTGTACATCCTGTATCCTTCTGTTAATCTGTTTTTTGTAAAGCTTTTAGGTCATCTATTATGGTCATCTATTGCCCTCATAGCAGTCAGCTACAAAAAGTGATTCATTATCATTTATAACCTGCATGCATGGCAGCAAACGTTTACGTCACTCTTCTCCTGGGAAACTCTAACTGCCCGTGGGGAGAACTGGAGAGAGGAGGTGGAGGGAGATTCACTGTACATCCTGTATCCTTCTGTTAATTTGTCTTTTAAAGCTTTTAGGTCATCTATTATGGTCATCTATTGCCTGATATATGAAAACACGCATAAGATAAAAATGGAATACTGTTACCAAGCTTTATTTTTAACCTGAATGGAACACAGGACAGAATGGGTATTCCTTGCTTGTGATGTCACCTGGAATGTGGCTTTTTATTCTTCTCTTAGGAAATGAGAGGAAATAAAAATTTAAAAAGCATAGCTGTCCCCAACACAAAGGGAAATTCCTTAGTCTTGGTCACTTAGTAATTCAAACATTATGACCGGCACGTGTTTTCTCTGATTATCAAGGGACATTTAAAGCCTGCAGCCTCAGGGAAGACAGAATGAGGGAAAAAAAAGATAAAAATGAATATCGTTACCAGGCTTTATTTTTAACCTGAATGGAACACAGGGCAGAATGGGTATTCCTTGCTTGTGATGTCACCTGGAATTTGGCTTTTTATTCTTCTCTTAGGAAATGAGATGAAATAATAATTTAAAAAGCATAGCTGTCCCCAACACAAAGGGAAATTCCTTAGTCTTGGTCACTTAGTAATTCAAACATTATGACCGGCACGTGTTTTCTCTGATTATCAAGGGACATTTAAACCCTGCAGCCTCAGGGAAGACAGAATGAGGGGGCAGGGGCTGACTCCGCCCTTCCAAATCGAGTGGGATCAGCTTCCAGACTCCTGGCAGCAGATATGAGTGAGGACCATGTCCCCACCCGTCACAGGCCCTGGGCATACAACTGGAGCTACGTGTTAGTTGCGTATTATAATCGTTGCTGTCACTATTGTTATTGGCAAGCAAGTGTAAGTTGTATGTTCAACAGGGTAATTATTCAACATTAGCATTTCATACCTGACACTCAGACATTGCCATGGTTTTGTACGGAAAAGAATCAGACGCTTACTGTCATCGGTTAAAGCAAAATAGCTGCCAGACTTGGAGAAGGTGGACGCCAGGATCATGTCACTCCCCTTCTCCACGGGCTGTCCGTCCTCCCTGAGAAAAAAGGAGAACGGTGAGGCCTGAGCTGAGAAATAAGGCTGCATTCCTCTAGGCCAGCCTTGTTCATTTTTAATGTGAACAGAGGTAGAAAACGCCATGAGGTTCATGCAGCCAGACTATCAGACCTATTAGGGGAACATGGGGAGGTTCAAACAGTTCTAACGTTTAAGGAGTAAAAGCTAACTAACAAAACAATTTCTCAGTGTACACACCAAAATAAAAAGAGCTGAGGTGGAAGGACCCACATGGTCCACTCCCTCATGGACATGAACTAATCAAGACTAGAGGCAGGAGCCCAGCTGGCGTGGTTCAGTGGTTGAGCATCGACCTATGATCCAGAAGATCCCGGTTCGATTCCTGGTCAGGGCACATGCCCAGGTTGAAGGAGAACAGTGAGGCCTTTGCTGAGAAATAAGGCTGCATTCCTCTAGGCCAGTGGTGTGCAAACTCATTAGTCAATAGAGCCAAATGTCAACAGTACTTCAAAATAGACTCGCCCCAGCCGAAAACCGACTTCTGCGCATGGGCCACGAAGTTTCAATCGCACTGTACGTGCGCGCCCGCTTAAATAATAATAATTTTTAAAAAGCTGAGCCACATGACCAATTCTAGTAAAGAAAGTCACCAGATAAAATCATCACACTCTGCTTTTCTTACCTTTCAATTAGCTAAGTTAATGTCATGCAACTGCCCCCAATGCACTTAAAATTGATTGCATTATTTCAAGGTGCCAATAAGAACGTTATTGACAAAAACTAATTAAAAGTACTTAGAAAAGCCCTAATATTCTTAACGCCTAATTTGAAAATCCCACATTTCTTTCCTGAGGTACCCGGTTTTCTACACAGCAAGGTAAAGAGAAATGAAAAATTCAGTGAGAAGACATCAATCTCCTTCTTAGGCTATCAGGGCCCATTACTCAAACCACGAATTGAATCTGAAGAGATTTCCCCACTATCTCACCCTTTATTTTCTTGTGACTTCTTTTCTGCAGTACTGCAATCATATGTGAAGAGGCTGCCGTCATCATCACTGAAGAAAAACAATAGAAAGATTTTTAAAAAGTACTTTGTTAATTAAAATGCCCTTCCCGTTCCTCTCTGAAATCAATGAATATATATATAAACCACGTGCGGGCGCGCATGTACAGTGTGATTGAAACTTCGTGGCCCATGCGCAGAAGTCGGTATTTTGTGGAAGAGCCACACTCAAGGGGCCAAAGAGCCGCATGTGGCTTGCGAGCCGCGGTGTGCCAAGCCGCAGTTTGCCGACCACTGTCTTAGGTTATCAGGGCCCATTACTCAACCACGAATCAAGTCCTGAAGAGACTTCCCCACTATCTCACCCTTTATTTTCTTGTGACTTCTTTTCTGCAGTACTGCAATCATATGTGAAGAGGCTGCCGTCATCATCACTGAAGAAAAACAATAGAAAGATTTTTAAAAAGTACTTTGTTAATTAAAATGCTCATGTCTTTTATTTCCCTGGAACAGAAAAATATTTGCCTAGTCATCTAGTTAAGGCTCTCAGCCACAACAGGTCTGGGTTCGCTACCTCAGGCAACAATTATGGAGCTTTATCCGCCTAATCTCTATTTGGATTTGCCATACACAACTGGCATGGTTCTGTACAAAAATCCGTTTAGTAAAATAAGTGAGAACAAAAGTCAACGGGACATATCCTCCTCTTTCAGGCACCAGCACATCAATGTAAAATGGTTATGTCTGAAGAAATGTGTCCTGATCTTGTTTTCAGTGGGTTTTTTGTACCCAAACTTAAAACTGCCATTTCTAGTTTAGAAAAATGTCTCACCTGCCCCAAAAAGCTCCCTTGGCTGCCAAGCACTGACCAATACAGGAGCCACCCATCTTCCCCATTACACCCCAAGTTCTCTACTATATATTACCCCCCCACCCCCCACCCCCGCTTCTAGCACACAGAAGGCATCTTGTACAAATGTACAGCCTTTAAAGTGACTGCACTTTAAACTCTTCACAGGGAGCACTGGAGCATAGAAAAGAGAAGTAGTCCTCCAAGTCAGAAACTGTGCTGGCCCCTAAGGCAGCAAGCAGATGGAAGTCTCCCCTTGGCATGTGTGGGACACTGTGAGCCTCAAAAACAAAGTAATCTGGGATACGTGACCGGTTTGGGAGGAAATGTTTTGTTAAATCTAAATTTAACATTGAGTTGGGAGTTCTGAAACCAGGACCAGGGAATACGGATAGTGCATTTGTTAGGCACGTTGTCTGTTTCAAGCATGAGAATCAAAACCCTGAGAAAAGAAACAGGGGCCGAAACGGACCGTTACTAACATCCCCCAAGCTCCCGAGTCAAGAATAATGGAGCAACAAACATTTCCTGAGTTAAAAATCCCGAGCGCTGTGTCCACACTGGGGAACCACAAGGAAAGAACGTTAAATTAGGGAAAGCAGCCCTGGCTGGTTTGGCTCAGTGGATAGGGCGTAGGCCTGTGGACTGAAAGGTCCCGGGTTCAATTCTGGTCAAGGGCACATGCCTGCCTGGCGGGCTCGGTCCCCAGTGGGGGGTGTTCAGGAGACAGCCAATCAGTGGTTCTCTCTCATCACTGATGTTTCTATCTCTCCCTCGAATCCGGAAGAGCCAGTGGGGCGGGGTCCACAGATGCAGAGGAGTGTGTGGCGCCACCGCAGGACCAGGGAGCCAGAGGGAGGGCGCCCTCAGGAGCCAACCCCTCCGACCAGCCTGCCTTCCTTCCCGCGCTCGGGTCTGCCGGGCGTCCCCGGGACCCGCTTTGGCCCCATCCAGCCCCACATCGCCCCACGCACCTGGGCTCCATCTGTCCCCTCAGAACCCAGCCCAGAGCCACGCAGACCAGCCATCGAGGGGGCGGCGCCTTGGACCGGTGGCCAGGGGAGCGCCCGGGGC